TACAATATACTCAACCCTATACTCCACAACAAAACGGCGTTTCTGAACGCATGAATAGAAGTTTATTGGAGAGAATAAGAGTCAAAATAGCCGAAACAAATATACCTACTTTTCTATGGGGAGAGGCACTTCGTTGTTCAGTGTACGAGTTAAACAGATGTCCTTCTAGTGCTATACAGTATAAAACACCAGCTGAAATTTGGTATGGTAATAATGACCTCTCAAAATTAAGAATTTTTGGTTCAAAAGCATGGGCATTAACAATTCCAAAGCCACAAAAGCTTGATCTAAGAGCAAAGTCAATGCTAATGATAGGCTACTGCGGTAGTGGCTATAGACTATGGGATTATCAACAAAATAAAATTGTAACTTCCACAGACGTTATTTTTGACGAAGAAAAAGTAGGATTTAAGAAACAAGACAAAGAAGAGAACATTTTTATAGAAAATATAGATAATGAAAACATACTGGGAGATACAGACAACCAGAATGAAAAACATGTTAAAATAGAAGAGAGTGAAAGCGTAAAAGAAATTAGAGAAACTACGTCTACTACTAAATCAGGTAGACATATTAATAAACCTAAATATTTAAATGAGTACGAAGTTTATTCAGCATATTGCCTTTTAACTAAATGCGGAGAACCTGAAAGCTTCAAAGAAGCAGAACAAATTGAAGGTTGGAGTGAAGCAGTGAAAAAAGAAATAAATTCTCTTGAAAAATTGAATACATGGGTTCCAGCGGAGTTACCAAAAGATGCCAAAGCTATAGCTACCAAGTGGGTTTTTAAACTTAAAGATGATGGTACGAAAAAGGCCCGACTTGTGGCTAAAGGTTTTCAAGTGAAGGAGGAGAACTCGCTTGACACTGTATACTCTCCTGTAGCAAGAATGTCCTCCATAAGAATGTTATTAATACATGCTCTTCAAAACAACTGGTGTATTCAACAAATGGATATACCCTCCGCCTTTTTAAATGGATACCTAGATTCGGTGATATATATTAAAATACCTGAAGGAGTAAGTATAGAAAATGGAAATGTACTACAACTAAATAGATCTCTATATGGCCTAAGAGAATCACCAAAATGTTGGAATAACCGTTTCAATGAAGTTGTTTTAGACGAAGGTTTTGAAAGGTCTAAACACGATTTTTGCCTCTATATAAAAAGTAATGTTTGGATGATAGTGTATGTAGACGACATAATTATTACAGGAATGAAGAAAGAAATAGAAGAAACAAAGAATATGTTAAAAGTCAAGTTTGAGGCTAAAGATCTAGGAGAAATGGCAAAATTTTTAGGTATGTCTATCACTAGAACCGAAGAAACTTTAAATATAAACCAATCAGAACTAATTTTGAAAATATTGAAAAAATTTAATATGGAAGAATGTCATGGATGCCAAACACCAATGGAAGTTAATTTTCAGATAGTTGCAGACGGAGAAATTATCGAAGTTCCATACAGACAACTAATAGGTAGCTTAATGTATCTTGCTACAACGTCAAGGCCAGATATCATGTATGCTGTTTCTTACCTAAGCAGATCACTTGACAAACCTTCAGACCAAACTTGGAAAGCAGCAAAGAGGATATTACGTTACTTAAAGACTACTGAAAATTTTAGTTTGCGTTACAAAAGAGGAGAAAATTCTCTTGTAGGCTTTGCAGATGCAAACTGGGCAGGAGACACTTCGGACCGCAAAAGTGTAAGTGGATGTATAGTATTCTATTGCAACAATTCAGTTTCTTGGTCATCTAGAAAGCAAAACTGTGTCGCATTGTCATCCACCGAAGCAGAATATGTTGCTGGTTCTGCTGCTGCCCAAGAACTAATATATTTAAAAGGTATTCTTTTAGATTTTGGCGTTACTACTGAACCTACGTTGTTAATGGACAATGTTGGTGCAATTTGTATGTCAAAATCATATGAAAATTCTAAACGTGTAAAACACATTGATATCAAAGAACACTATATCAAAGATTTGGTCATCAATGGTCAAATTAAAATGGATTATGTTAACACTAAAGATAATGCTGCAGATGTTTTTACAAAAGCATTATGTAAACAAAAATTTTTAAATTTTAGAGATGTTTTAAATATTGTACCTTGGTAATGGTATTATGTGCTGTTGAGCGTTTTTCAATTTTTCTGTTAAAAATTTCAAATCGAGGAGGAGTGTTGAATCTATGCAGCACATAGTACACTTACTATAAAATATATACAGTATGTATCTATGGTTTCGTTGTGTTTTTTGAATTGAATAAAAGTTGTCAGTTAATAAAAAAAAAAACGTTTTGTCATTCTCAATAAAATTTATTATAAAATACATAAAAAAGGTTACTGGTTTAACTAAATAGCTTCCAAAGCGAAAAATACTTCATTTAAAACGGTCTAAAATAGGTCCACTTTTCATACCTGTAATAAATTTTTCTTTCAGGAATAATGTCAGATTTAATAAAAACTATATATATCAAGTTATGACCGAATCTTCAAGTGATCCTAAATCGATTCAAGAAGCATTGTCCAGTGAAAACTCAATATATTGGATGGAAGCGGTGGAAGAAGAATTAAGAGCTCATAAGGGCCAGTTGTATAGGTTTAGTTTAAACGACAAGTTCTTGTTAAACCTAAGTTTAAACAACATGGTTCTTTGTATAGGTGGATGTAACTGTCATCCGGAGTTTAACTATCAACCGGTAGATAGAGCACCAGTTAAACTACAATCTTTAGATAAATACATGCGCAAAGCCTATGATGTAAGTTGTCAATGTCATGTCATTTGTGTTTTGTTTGTCAATTGTCAATCATAAATTCTTGTTTTTGTCTTTGAGTTTTGGTGAAATAAATCAAATTATATTTTTTATAAAACCCAAAATGGATGTTTTCGAATTATTCGAAGATATTTTGTTTGATGATGAAGACGATCTGGATATTTTAAATATAGTTGAGAACCCAAGAAGACCTAGACATTTTCGAGGACGAATAGAAACTATGGAAATCTGGATAGATCTAGAATTTATCAATAGGTTTAGAATATCAAAAGCTTCTGTGGAAGTATTATTTGAACAAATTGGCATACATTTGCATAGGAATACACAGCAGTAAGTACCTACTTTTTTCAATTTATGGAGTGTTCATTATTGATTTCATAAAATATTGATATAGAAATGTCCACTTATTTTCAGGAACCATGCTTTAACCCCATTAATACAACTTTTGGTTGCATTACGATTTTATGCTACTGGGAGTTTGCTTACTGTAGTGGCTGACTTTGGAGGTATAAACACTGGCACTGCGTCACGAGTTATTCGTGATGTATCAAGGGAAATAGCAGGTTTGTCAGCTGTATATATTAAAATGCCCACCACCAATGAAGAAATTGAGGAAAGCCAAAGAAACTTTTAGAATATAGCCAATTTTCCTAATGTGATTGGGGCAGTAGACTGCACACACATTAGAATACAATCTCCAGGTACAAAATATTTCAAATATTATACTACTAGACTAATTTTAAGATAAAATAAGATATTCTCTTTGCAACTTATTAAATGGCTAGTTTGTCATTGTAATGAAAATACCTTCTGAAATTAGGCTTTATTGAACATAATTTTAGTGACAGTAATAATAAGACAACTCTATAACAACGAATTAATAAACCATACAGGATGTACAAAACTAATATGAAAACACGAACACAGTTTTTCATTACACATTCTTTATAAAATATTTAAAAGTCCAAATCAAATTAAGTCTGTGTGTAGCTAGAAGCTATATCTATAAGTATAAAGTACCTAATTTTGCATACTATAAAAAATATATATTTTTAGGTGGACAAAATGCAGAGCACTTTCGAAATAGAAAAGGTTACTTTTCAATAAATGTTCAAACAGTGTCTGATGCAAACTTATATATAAGAAATATAGTTGCTCGGTGGCCAGGATCAGCTAATGACAGACTCATTCACAACAATAGCCGTTTAAAGGCCCAGCTCAATGATGGCATGTTTGGAAATAGTGTTATTTTAGGTGATTCGGGATATACCTTGGACAATCATATCATGATTCCAGTTGCAAACCCGAACACACCTGCTGAAAATTTATATAATGAATCCCAAATAAGAACTCGAAATGTTGTAGAGCGGCAGTATGGTTTATGGAAAAGGAGATTCCAGGTCTTAAGACTGGAGATGAGGGTCTTACTAAATACTGTTTTATCAATTATAGTAGCTACAGGAGTATTGCACAACATTGCACTCCATCAGAATGATCCTGGACCACAAGTGGATGTCAATGAGCATGAACCTGCTGAGGACAATATTGAAAATGAACGGAATGAAGAAAATGAAAATTTGACAAGACAAGATTTAATAAATAACTATTTTGTAAATCTGCTTAATTAGTATTATGTACTGTTCATTTAACACTGACACACTTAAGTTGAATTTTTTACCTAATCTGTTGACTCCGGATGAGGAGCATTTGTGAATTTGCAATAAAGTTGGTATTCCTTCATTTTTTTAAATAATGTAATATATGTATATTCGAATAAATATTCTTTGAATCTCCGATATATTTAAAAAAAAATTATTTCTAGTAGTTGCTACAAAAGCTCACCTTTGCTTCTCCATTGTAATAAAATATTAATATGGAATCTAATCTGGGTATTTGTTTTGTGAAGGAAATGCTTAAACATGTATAGAGGACTGATTTTTTTAGAAAAAATGTTATTCTTCATAAAAGTGTTTGCTTGTTTCAAGACTAATAATAATAATACAAACAGAAGTTAAATATCTTTGCTTTAGTGAAATAAAAATGTACAAAAAACCTATAGGTATAATATATTTATAATCAATTCAAACAAATTAGGTACATAACTAACTATTTTCTAGCTGTTTTTTTAGTATCTGTACTTCCAATTTTTTTTTCTGGATCTCATAGGAATGAAGTTCCTTCATTTGATCTAATTTCAGTGAATGTTCCTTATCTGCTCTTTTTCGTTAATCTTTAAGGCAAGTTGTTTGCAGCCTAAGGAAATCTAACTTTGCCTCCGATACACTCTTTATTTTCTGTCTGCAGTCTTCCGTTAATTTTGTTTTTCGGTTTGGAGGTTGTTGTTCTCTGACTAGAATAACAAAAAATTACTGTTACATCCTATCTAACTAAAAATCACATTACACTATTTCGATTAATAATAGAAATCATTCATATTTTAACAAGAAAGTGTCGAATGAAGAAAAATAAAATTTTGAAAATGCCTAATATCTGGATATTTATATACCTGAAACACCTTTGGACAAAGGTTTTTTCAATTTCATGGGAGTCCAAGAATTCCAAATTTCCTGTGAATTGGCATCTTTCCTTGATTTATCATCACTAGATGTTTCTGAAAAATATACAAAAATAGTAACTTATTTTGTTCTTGTGACAATCGCAGATATTTGTCATTTAATAATAAATTTACAAACCTGAAACATCTTTAGGGAAAGGCCTTTTAAAAGCCCTTGGCGTAGTTGTTGATGTTGAAGGTTGTACTATTATATCTTCCACATTCTCATCTAAAAAAATTTTATATCAGTTTGTTTACGTTTTTCAATACAGCATATTATAGAGTTGCATACTAAATACAATCTCCATGAAACATATTATTGAATTTGTAATAAAATTGAAACTTACCCATCACTTCACTATCTTCATAAATTACTTGTATGTTTTCTTCTATGTTACTTTCATCTTGAAAAGTCTCAGCACCCAGCTCATCACTGTCAAAACAGTTGTTTTAACCGGTAACGGCTATTCCAATGATGGCTTTTATGTTTTCATCATCGGGCGTAATATTTGGAAAGTCTGCTTTTCCTCCTCCAGTTTTATAAATTTCTTCTCTCTCTGAAGCGAACTTTTTTTTTTTTTTATGTTTTTTTAAGATTTTCCCACTTTCCTTTCAGAATTTTGGGGGTTCGAGGACTTTTGCACGCTATACTATTATTAAAATCCTGACATAAGGATTGCCAAGCTTCTTCTTTCTGCCTCCATGTCACAGCATCACTTTTTTTGCATTCAACAATGTCTTGATATGTCTTCATCAGTGATATCAATTCACTTACTTCAAGTTGAGTGAAATTTGAAGACCTTTTACTGCTATTCATTCCACCGCTATTCATTCCACAGCTATTCATTCTAAATAATTAAATATAGTTGAAAAAAAAAATTCATTAAAACTATAATATGAACAATAATTTCATACCGTAAACTTCTTATTATAAATATTTACCTTAAAACTTAAAATGATAAATGATATTATTTAAAATTAAAAATTTCTATACATTCATCAACTTATACAGTCATTTATGTCTTAAAACTGCAATGTCAAACGTCAAAACTGTCAAATTTTGGTGAAAACGGAAACGAGTTTTGATAACTTATGTGGGATGAAGTTAGCCACAAATAGTTTAACAGGGACTTACACAAGGTACCTTTTTGAGTTTATCAGTTTAAACATAGGGTTAAACTTAAGTTTAAACTAAAGTTTAAACCTTATTATAAACGTAACCTATACAACTGGCCCTAAGAAAAATAATACATGGACTAATTGTGAACATAGAAAACCAGAAATAGAGCGATACAAAGCACGTCTTGTTGCAAAAGGGTACTCGCAGACAGGGTATCAACTATGAAGAAACATATTCCGCAGTTGTCAGATATAGTTAGACTGTTATTAGCCTTATCTGCAAAATTTGGCTTGCAAGTTGACCAAATGGACGTAGCTACTGCTTTTCTTTACCCAAAATTAAAAGAAGAAATTTATATGGAACTGCCTGATGGTCAAACAAGCTAAATAAAGCTTTATATGGGCTTAAGCATGCAAGCAGAGCATAGAATCAAGAATTAGACTCTGCTCTGAGATATAAACTTTCAAAAATCTAAGTATGACCCCTGTATATATTTTAATTGTATAGATGGAAAGCGCATTATTGTATTTGAAAGAACTATCGAAAAGGTTCCACATGAAAGACCTAGGTGAAATAAATTATTGTCTAGGAATTAGAATACATAGAGATATTGAAGCTGGTACCATTACTATAGATCAAGAAAAATACATTAAAGAAATACTAGCCAGGTTTGTAATGACGAATTGCCATGGAATTAACTCCCCCATGGATTACAATCAAAAGCTGACTAAATAAATAATGCCGCAAACTGCTGCAGAACGTGAAGTAATGGCAAGTTTTCCTTATCAGGAAGCTATAGGAAGTCTTATGTATGCAATTAGACTTTTGTATGCAGCACAGTGCACACGTCCTGATATTTGTTTCACCGTGGAAAAGCTGGCTAGATTTAGCCAAAATTCTGTTAAAGAGCATTGGCAAGGAGTCGAAAGAGTATTCCGTTGCCTCAGAAAAACCTCCAATTACAAGTTATTGAACAAGCAAAATGATGTTTTGCATGGGTATAGCGACGATTAGGCAGGCGATTTAGAAGACAGAAAATCAACAGCAAGTTATGTATTTGTCCTCAGTACAGGAGCTATAAACTGGATGTCGAAAAAGCAGTCTGTAGTTGCGTTATCCACTACTGAAGCTGAGTACATGAGCCTTATGGCCACTTGCACCGACAATTTTAAGCGGAGCTTTGGCTTAAGGTTAGCTTAAAATATGAAATTTCATTGCACCGTAATTTAAGAACTGTTTAAGAGTTACTTTACAAAGCGGTAAAATTTGGAGCCTTAAAGTACCCTTATTTTTAAGTATTGATATGCGCAAGCCCATTTCTGTCAATTTTGAAGTATAAAATATAAAATGTCATTTGACTTGATGAAATTTGATTCATGTTGGTATTTTCCTCAGAGTAAAGGTTTTTCTATTGTGTTATTTTTTGAGTGCTTTGTTTTTTGTTTAATAATTTAAAATGGATATTTTAAATGACGATCTAGATATTCTGGAAATTATAGAATTTGGTTACCCAAGAAGGGTATACACAAGAATAAACCATTTTGAAGATATGGATAATTTAACATTTTTTAGAAGATTTAGATTGTACAAGGAAACTGTTCTGTATTCACTGGAACAAATTGAAGCTGATCTTGAATTTATTAATGACAGGTAAGGAGGTGCTGGAAATAATTACAAAATTACACTATGTCGGTTTTATAAATTATTCCTGTCCTTTTAATGAAATGTCCTATATTATTAATATTTTATATTTTAGAAATAATAGTGTCAGTACTGTTAACCAACTGTTGTGTGCTCTACGATTTTATGCCAGCTCAGGACACTTAAGTTCAGTAGCAGATTTTGTAGGAATGGACAGCTCAACGGCTTCAAGAATTATAGCAAAGGTATCAAGATCAATTGCACGACTATTTCCTAGATATGTTAAAATGCCACAAAGAGAAAACCTAATACATGTGCAAGCACTTTTCATGATATAGCAAAGTTTCCCCGTATTATTGGTGTAGTAGATGGCACACATATAAAAATACAATCGCCAGGTATGTATAATAAAGAAGCATTTTTTTTATATTTAATCTCACCTTTGTATTTTTTTCAGTAAGTTTAATATTAAAAAATATTTAAAAAACAACAATGTGTTTAAAATAAGCCTTCTCTTTTAATCTGTTTAATGTATGTGTTTTGTTTTGTATAGTCTTGAAAATTTTAAATTTTTAACTATTTAAACTGACTAATATTTGTTTTTCAAATATTTTTAACTTTTATATAACTTGTAACATTGTTTATTTTACAATGTTTGTAGTATTCCCTAGTGGATGGAGAGTATGGTGAGTATTCTTTTTTACTATTTTATATATCGTTGGCTCAAAGTTAACACACCTTACACCACATATTCTCCTTTCCACTAGGCGAGCCTGAAGATGAAGTGATGATACTTCGAAACCGGTCGCACTCAATGTTTTATTGAATAAATAAACATTAACTTTCCTTGTGAGATATAAAGGACTTTTTCTCCCCCTTCACCTTAAAATTAATATTTAATATTTAATATTAGCTCATTAATTATTTTATTTGTGTCTAATTTATCATTACCTTTACACTTTCCAACCATTAATAAATAATTTATTTTAGGTGGCGATGATGCAGAGGTTTATAGAAACCGAAAATCTTTTTTTTCTTGGAATGTGCAAGTAGTCGGTAAAGCAGTTTTAGAATTTAAAGATGTGGTTGCCCGTTGGCCTGGTTCAGCACATGATGCTACCATATTTTCAAATTCTAATTTAAGTGCAAGATTTGAAAATAATGAATTTCCAAATTGTGTGTTGTTGGATAAGTAATAGTATTTTCTTTAGTTACTACTCATTAAACTAAAAAAAATCAGTAAGTAATAACTCTCCCTAATTCGCCTACTTAAAAGTGAATTTCAACCCCTGAAGCCGACTAAACTTGTGTGGGGAAGGCTATTATTATTTGCTGTGGCATATAAAGATTAAATATAATGTGCAAATATATTTCTTTTCAGGGGACAGTGGATACCCATTAAAAAACTATTTACTGACGCCCTTGCATAATCCTGTGGTACGTGCAGAACAACTGTATAATGAATCGCATATTCGAACACGTAATTTAGTGGAAAGATTAATAGGGATCTGGAAAAGAAGGTTCCCCATTTTAGCATATGGGTGCAGATTAAATGAAGAAACAACCAAAGCTGTCATTATAGCCAGAACTGTCCTACATAATATTGCAAGACAGATGAATGAACCAGATCCACCCCTACCAGAAGATATAGACGAGCAGGAGTTAAATTATTTAATCAATACTGGTGAAATCAATGTTGACATTGAACATGACAATGTAAATCATTCACAAAATGAAATAATAGAATATTTTAGAACTATAATGTAGCCATAAGGTTTAAATAAAATATTTTTGTGTACTTTTATTATTTTATTTTAAATATAAAAACAAAAATAATTTATTTTTGTTGGGTCATGGACTGCAGAGTTTTTTTTTATTTCAATGTCTAACCTAAGTGACTCTCTTCTTAGGTCATGTTCATCTGTGGCTTGTTGTAAATCTATTTTTCTATTCTATTTTTCTGCCAGATGGTTAGATGACAAAGCTTTGACAACTGTTGCTGGACGCCTCCGGGATGTTATTATTTTTGTCTTTTGCCTTTGTGGCGTTTCTACATCCTGCAATTGAAACTAAATTATGAAATAACTTCAGTTACAATAATTGTTGCAAATTTATTATGACAAACAATTTACACTTACATTTGTTTCAGTATGGTGCACTTTAAGAGCAGCTGTAACGGGTCTTTTTAAATCCAGTGCTTTATAAGTTTTCCAACTTGGTCCTGGTGCCTGAAACAAACATATGGTTCAAAATAAGACGTATAGTTTTAACCCTTTTGCTGCAGCAAGCACATGTGGCCTGGAAAGTTGAATTACATGCAGACAGCTCACTTGTGAGGCCTGGATTTCTCTAAATATAATAATCCAACATTGTGTCACACAAACCATAGTCTATTAATAGTATTGCTGCAGTGAAAGGATTGTCATAAAGAATAGTTGTTCTTGTTGAATACAAGATTTTTTTTAATTATGTCACTGTTTAATGAAGTACATTCAAAGTTTAAATTACTCACTTCTTTCTCGACATAGTTTTCTGCCTCTTGGGATTCTTCCTCTTGAGACTCTTTTTCTTCAATATCTTCTTGTGTTTCTTAATCGGAGCCCTGAAATAAAGTGCAAAAGTAATTGAGTAAATTCAGTATATAATATAATTTTGTTGTCATACTTTAAAAATGAAGATTTCATCAGTCTCTTTCTTGCTGTTCCTGGATGTTGATGCGGTTGGTATACTGGCACTATCAGAACACCAGATGGATTCTGTACCAAAAACAGTTTTTTTGTTAACAATATCCAACAAAATATTGTCATCGCTATCATATTTTTTCGACGGTGGCCCGCCACCAGTCAGTAAAATTTCTCTTCTCTCCACCGCTTTATTTTTTCTCAGTTCTTTTTTTCGGTTCTCATGCATTTTCCTTAGAGATTCGGTCGATCTAACACAACTGTTTGGCGAAACTGCATTAAACTGTCGAGTAACATTTTCCCAAGCAGCCCTTTTTTCATCTGCAGACACACCATCTGTTTTTTTTATTTTCTACCACTTCTTTGAACTTTAAAATGATAGAAAATAACAAAATTTCCTCATTTTTGTTAAAATTGGCGGATCGTTGCCTTTTTTCTTATCTTCCATTTTTAAATATAAAACTGGGCAGTGTCTCGCCGTCCGTTAAACGGTCGGCGTATTGAAGTTAGCTGTCCGTTAGAAATATTTTCTTCTTCTTTTTAACAGGCCTCACAAGTACACCTTTACGGTCACATGTTACATGTTAGGTTAGAAGAGCCAAAACTTGAATAAAATACTGTCACAATAGAAAAATGTAAACTGAAAATGAGAAATGGAGATTATTCAATTTTTATGTCTCCATGTTTTATGTTTATAAATTATTAAATAGGTACCAATCAAAGTGGTTTAGGGGACAAAGTGATATGAAAATATTTGAAAACTATATGAAACAAATCTGGAGGTTTATATGAACGAAAATATAAAAAACAAGCCGAAATGGAATTTGATAAAGAATGTTCCATTATTAATAAAGGCATTTAATTAAAGTACTTCCATTTCTTATATTGGAAAGGTAATATTTTAACCATGACTTGATTGAAAAAAATAAATTGTTTAAAAAAATAAAATACAAAATTGAAAGTATAAATTTAAAATAACTTGGTTTTAAAGTTTTTCTCTTGCATTTGTATACATTTGACACAATCCAAAATTTTATACTAAAAAGGAAATCATTTCTGTATGCATATTGAACAAAGCCAAACAGAATTTTCTTTATGAGATTTATCTGTACAGCTTAAATGAAACCAGTGTAGACATCGATCACATCTTACAGATGGGAGGTTTTCAATGTTTTCTTTGCAACATTGGCAAATCCATATCCCATTTATTTTATGAACAGGTGTTCAAAAAATTCTCCCAGTGAACTATTTTTCTCTATGACCATTTTTAACTTCTGGTTAATCGACTCAAGTCTATTGTTGGTCCTATTCAAAAAATTTAAAATTTTCTCGCCCAAATGGGGACACCACTCTTCATAAATGCTTAACCATTGTTCTTCTAGGTATTTCCAAGTACTAAGAGATACTATAGTTTTAATTTTATCGCATATTTCATCAAATGATTTTTTAGTAGAGGCATACGATAATTTTTGTAATAATTCCAAAGTAGCAATTCTTTCTTCATTTGTAATTTTCATCTTTTCTACTGTAATTTCTCTTTGAAACACTTTAAATACATGAAAAATACATATTAAAATTTGAGCACTGGGAAAACATTCTTTAAAAACTGCTCTTTCTGCCCAATCCTTATCAGCCATAATGGTCTTGGTTTTGTGGCAACTTGGGTTAATTTCCTTAATTTTTTTAAGGAACCATAATAGAGAGTCATAGTCTTCAGAAACTAATATTGACACTGCAACAACTTGGCTTTCCCCATTACCATCTTCAATTAAAATCAGGTACACAGGTGTACGAATATTTAATAATTTGAATGTTGCGTCAATACATATTAGTTCTGGATAAGCTTCCATGGTAACTCTCATTGTAGGGGTACAAAACAGAAGGCCTTTAAAAATATTGTTTGTATCAACTAATAAATGACAGTCAGAGCCTACAAAAAATACTAAATTCATATATCCAGTCAAAATTACTTTTAAAATCTAAAACCATATACCAAAAATATTCAACCCATAATGCCAAAAAAAATATAAAGAAGTTAAGTTAGGTATATACAGGGTGTTTATTAATTGAGTGCCGATACTTAAGGGTGATTTTAAGAAGAAAAGTTAATATCAACATATGTCGTAAATCTCTTAATTTTTGAGCTACAGGGTGTTACAGTTTTAAGAAAAAAATATCTTTTTTTTCCTAATTTTCTTATCACTGCAGATATTTCTATGAAATTTTGTAAACACCTTTTAATCATTATGTTTCCACGCATGGTGGGTACCTACCAGATTTCAACAAAATATCAAAAGCAGTAGGTATAAATGAACTTAAGGAAAAAATTTGACCAACCACTAAAATGGTTTTTATTTTTTTACGTGAAAACGGTGCATCGTACGAAAGTAAGTCTATGAGCCAAGTTTGCTCCAAAATAAATGATGATTTTAAAAATAATTTTGGTTTTCAGAAAAAGCAGTGGCGTACCATTTTTTTCTTCAAAAATATTCAGTTCAAACCCCGTACGGACGTCACTGGTAAAAATTTAAAAAAATCTTATACGTCAAAAAATGCTCCTTAATTATTAAAACGTGTGTACAAAATTTCATAGAAATATCTGGAGTGATAAAAAATTATGATAAAAAAGTATTTTTTTTCTTAAAACTGTAACACCCTGTAGCTCCAAAATTAAGTGAGTTACGACATATGTTGATATTAACTTTTCTTCTTAAAATCACCTAAGGATTCACACCCTTAAGTATCGGCAATTAATTAATAAACACCCTGTATATTACAGTAGTAACCATAGCCCAAAGCAATAAAGCACTATAAATACATATAAATAAATTTGAAGCAAAAATTTAAAAAAATTGTCATTGTCTCACCTCACAATAATTTAAATAATCAAAATATTCATAATTGTTCTTATTACATTTAGTTTAAATGTAAAAAAAGTTATAATAATAAGTAGAAGTTAAATAAAAAAATGTTTCTTATTATTTTATGAAATTTAAGATTATATAAAAAAATAGTGTTTCCATTTGAAAAAAAAAAAAAGATACAAAAAAGATTTTAGCTTAAACGTTTCCCCTATGAAAATATAAAACTTTTGTTTGAAACTTTTTCTATAAAATGCATATTTTCGGCTGCATTTAACTGTAAGCCTTTAATTTGAACACACACCCGGTATAAACATTGTCAAGATTCCCTACTAATGAAGGTAATACTTATTAGGTTGTTGAAAAAGAATCAGCACTTACCAAATTTTTCCTTAATTGCAGTTACTGCTGTTTCAATACAATTTTTGTATTTTAATTTATCTCTATATCTTAGATTTGAAAGGTCTTTTAAAGTTATGATTTGTCCTGTTTTTTCTTCGAGTTCTTGCCTTACAAGATGCTTGTTGGCTTTCAAACCTAATAATTTTTTTGCATTATTTTTAACTTCTTCAGGAAGTTTTCTTTGCTGAGGCAAATGCTCGTACAAATTTTTATCTATGATATGGTTATGCATTGAACTTATGCCAACAATTTCTAATTGGTTACCATTATCAGACGCTCTTAAAATTACATTTGCAGGACAAGGTACCTCTTGTCTAAGGGTCCTGAAAATTAAGTATATATAAAAAGTATATACTAAATATTTACTACTATATATAGTACAAACTTACTAATATTAAAACTTTATATAATATTCATCTTCATAAAATACTTACTTAGTTTTTCTTTTTCCTTCTCCAGATGGTACAAAAGGCCTACCACCATGAATGCATGAATACTTCAATTGATAGTATTCTAAACTAGGGTTCAAGTATCTCTTAACAACTTTTTTATCTACTTCAATTCGTCGACTGTCCCTTCTATAAAACTGAATAAAATGTTTTTTTGTTTCCGTTTCTAAAAATATTAACAGAAGTTTTAAAATTCTAAGATATAGTTCTAAGTCTATATTTTGTTGAATACTTACCTAATATTTTATCAAACTCTCTTGCAGAATTGTACCGGTCTCCTATTTTTAATTCCAAAGGAACATTGATGGTTTCACTATTCATTTTTTAAATATATTTTTTAACAAAGCCGTACAAACATATAATATTCAACATTCAAAGCCACTTCAAAGCTTCACTTTCAAAATGGGTTAATTACGCGCGAAAATAAATACTTCAAACTTCTTCTTTTTTTTTAATTTTAACGGACGGCTAATTTCAATACGATGTCCGTTTAACGGTCGCCGAGACACTGCCATAAAACTATCACAAATTTGGAATTCACGTGGTCGAATAAAAAGCAGATAAAAAATAACAGTTTAGGTTATGTCAGAATTTCCTTTACCACTTTCTTAACAAGGAAGAATGAATGACAGTGACATGACAACTGTTTTTGCGACTTACCTTATATCGCTTTCCTTATTGAAATCATGTAAAGAGTAAGACAGATATAACGCTCATATATCCTCGGAACAGGGTCATCCGTACTTAACAAAGTATGCTTTTTTGTTAAACGGTGCAAGCCAATAGAAGTAAAGTGTCACTTAAGTTTTAAATTATTTATTGTTTCGGCCTTTACTTGATGAAAATCTATTTAATTTTGAAAGAGTAAAACCAAATTTGGTAGATTTTCACACTTTTATTTTAAAAATAATTTTTTTTTTTTTTTTATTTATTTATTTTTTTTTTAAAACACTAACATGACATATGTTTCGAAGTACAACTTCTTTTTCAAATGTGACTATTTACAATTCGGTATCCAATATATATACGAAATAATTTAACAAAACAAAGTACTTAAGAAAACATCAATAACATTACAAAATAAACTAACTATTTAAAGTAAATAAGGGTACTTAGTTAATTATAATATCCATCAGATAACAATAAGATAGCCCATTACCGGGATTATCTCACAGAAAACTGGGAAAGAGATTTAATAAGGGTGAATTATTAATATCTAATTGATCATTTAGTAAGTTATCTGAATTTTTAAATCTATTTATTTCAAGTGTTTCTTAAATTAAATTAAACCATTTTCTGCATTCGTATTTGGTAGTTCGGGGTAATTATTAATATTACGTAAAAGATCAAATCTGTTGTTAGTGACAATTTTTGCATAACTAGGATTTTCTATAACTTTTTCCGCATCTTTAAATGAAATATTATTTGATGCCATATACTTTTTGATGTTTTGTTGTTTTTTATAAGCGGGACAATTTTTTGATACACTAGAATGATCACTACTTTTACAAAATACGCAAAATATATCTTTTTCACATGATGTCGTTTCATGTTCCTCGGTACACTTTTGGCACCTAGTATTTCCTCGGCATTGAGATATTGTATGTCCGTAGCGCAAGCATTTGTAGCACTGCACCACGGGATACACATATGGCTCAACTACAAAATTACACATGTTAATTTTTATATTTTCAGGTAGGGTATTGCCAATAAATGTTACAATTATAATTTGCCTATCAACATATTCGACTGTTTTATCAGGTTGGATTTTTTTACGTTTCATTCTCCTAATTTCTACTACTTCTCTTTCAGAGACAATATTTTCTAGGATTGTTTTTTCTGTGAAGAAGGTATCTACGTTTCGAACTATTCCTTTTTTTTGAGTAAAGAATTTTGGAATGTAAGCAATTAAATTGTTT